TGTAGGACCATGGTAGGTGTTTGTTCAGTTAGGTCAGTCTTGGCTTGGCTGCTACTGGGAGTGATGATCACAACCTGTTGGTCTGTAACACTATGATATATAATGGAGGGAATGGGGGTGGACATCGATGTGAATCCATCTTGTTTATGTTCACTGTTAGAGCTTACTGTGGTGAAGTAAACTGTAGTGTGATCACCAACTGAAGCGCCAACTGTATGGGGGAACATAGTTGTAGAGGAGGATTGCGTTATGTGCTCAGCTTCAGTAACATCATTTTTCCCAGTGCTTGAAACAGGAGGCTCTGTTGCTTCAGATGTGATGGGGCTTTCTGTTTCTGGAGTAATTTCGCGTTCCTGTGAGGAAACCTGCTCACCAGAGGTTGGTGTAACCGAAACAAAGGTTTCGGTTTCACCTGCTGCTTCTCCAAATGTGACACTTTCCATCACTGATGGCTTTGAGGTGAACATCTCAGCGGTTTCGCCACTAGAACTCTCTCCCTCTGTCAAAGTAAAGGCTGGACTCTGGGTTGATTTTTCAGTTGCAGACATGTTAACTGACTGGGCAGATGTGGCTACATATACTGTTGTTATATTTGGCTTCTCGGTGCTGTAGAGAGAAGAAGCTACAGTTACAGTAGATTTTGGAATGTCAGATATTCCACTTTTGTCTGATTCTGTTGTTTTAGATTTCTCTGTGCTGAACAGGGAAGACTCTGTACTTTCTGTAGTAACAACAGATGCACTTTCATGAGATGCTGCTGTTATTGTTGGTTTCTTTGTGCTGAACACTGAAGACACTATAGCATCCACTTTAGTAAATACATCAGCAGTATGGTCACCTGACCCATCCTCCATTGTATACACTGGGCTTGTACCTGTGGAGGGAGCAGTACTACTCATAGGTGGCTCAGTTACTCCTGTGGAGGAAGGCACTGATTCCAAAAGTAAGGGTTGTTTGCTAATAGCATGGTCCGAACTCTCATCAATTTTCAATAAACCTGAAGATGTGACCAAAGCCCCAGGAGGAGTTGAAGCTGACACAGTTGAAGATGACACAGAGGAGGTCAGAGTGAATGCATCAGCTAAGCTCTCTTGAACTGTTGAAGTGTCCATTTCAAGAGACATTGCTGTAGGTTTCTCAGTACTGTAAAGAGCCTCTGTGGACTTTGTTTGGTTACTTGAGCTCTCTTCAGTAATAGCAACAGCAGTAGAAGACAAAATGATTTGTTTTGTAACTGCTACAGTAGTGGCCATCACAGGAGAACTTGTAAGTGGTACAAATGTAGTTGACTCGTCAAAAAAGTAATCACCTGAATTCTCTTCTGCAGGGTCATCTATGTCAACCCCACTGCCCTGCTCAGTAATGTAAATCTCAGTGCTTGTCATATGTGGAGATTGGGTTGATGACATAAATGTATTTGTAAGCTGTACACTGGATTGAGTCGAAGATGCAGCACTTGATGCACTCTCCATTTCATCTCTTTCAGTCTCATCAGTAATCACAACAAATTCATCCTGGGGTTTTGTGGTGGTCTCAATGGATACTTCTGCACCAGATCCGTCTAGACCTGACTCCGAATCATTTTCTGTAGTTAAGTAACCAGAGCTTTCATCGTCAATGTGAGTAGAAGGTTCCTTTGTAGAAAACACTGTGACAGTGGGTATTGCCATAGGTTGAGAGGTTTTCAGCGTGTAGGGGCTTAATGTGACAGTTGTAAATTCTCCATTACTTGAACTTTTTTCCTCAACAAATGTGGATGTAATTGATGGTAAAAATGTGGTTGTTGTTATGGTTGTTTGTTCCAAAGAGGGTTGCTCAGTAGCTTTTGGTGTTTTTAGGGGAGTTTCATTTGAAGTTACAGATGTGTCATCTCCTGAATACTCTTCTTCTTCTGTAAACTCTCCACTTCCTGACTCAGACACTGATACTGTCATTGCCTCAGTTGTAGTAGATAATTGGGTAGGATCTGTAGATTTGTCTGTCATGAACTGTGTTGAGGATTGTGTTGATGATTCAACACCAGGCGATTTGCTCTGAGATTCAGCTGCCTGAATTTCATGTATTGCTGTAGAGAATGTGAATTTGCTTTGATAATGGCTGGAGGTAATTGGTGGCAAGGGTGTTGGATTCTCAGTACTGTACAAATAAGAAGCTACAGTTACATGAGATTTTAAAACTTCTCTTGTTTCAATTTCAAGTGAGGCTGTTGTCAATAATGGCTTCTCTGTGTTAATCATTGGATACACTGTGGTAGCTGTGTCCACTGTTTCTTTTGTGAGAACCTCTGTAGGAGTAAATGATGTTTCATCTGTTGCAGTGCTCTTTGTTGATTCTCCAAACACTACTGGTGGTGTGTCTGTACTGAACATGGAAGAAACAGGTATAGTGGCTACATCAGCTGAACCTTCTTCATCAGTTAATAGTGATCCTGTGTTCTTTTCTGTGTCAGGTGAAATAGGCCTTTCAGTACTGTACAAAGATGTAATAACCACAGATTCTGACCTATCAGTTGCAAGGAATGCTGTTGTTATTGCTGGTGTTTCTGTGCTGAACAACGAAGCGATGGTGGTTGATGTTTTATCCGCAACTTTGGTAGTAAAATCAGGGGTTTGATCAACAGTGTCATCAATAATAGGAATGGATGACTTTGTGGTGCTTGGAGATGTAGTAGCTGTTTCCTGTGAGCTGCTAATCACTATGGCTGAGTGGCTGCTTGGAACTACTGTTTGGTCATTAGTTGGCAAAAAAAAGTTGGCGGATGATTCCTCTGTTAAAATTTCTGTTGTTTCCCCAGTTGACCTGTCTTTGTCTATCAAGGTGTTTGAAGAACTTGGGTCAAATTCATCAATGATCAGGGTGGTTGTGCTTGATAGCAGTGGAGGTTGTTGTGTAATTGCAATGTCACTTGTTGATGGCAAAATTGTGGTAGCTGTGAAAAAGGAAGAGGCTGTAGGTGCTGCAGTCTCTTTGGTGGAAATCTCAGTTGTCTGTTCAGCTGAGCTCTCGTAATCTAAAGTTCGGACAGTAGAACTTGTCTCTGGTGTAGATGATAGTTTCTCAGTCTGTCTTGTGGTTGCAGTCTCTTGTGTTTCAGTTGACACTGATGTTGGTTTCTTAGTACTGTAGAGAGATGAAGCAGCAGTAACAGCTTGCTTTAAAGTACCGTTTCTTTCAGTTTCACCTGAGGGTGTTACTGATGGTGACTCTGTACTCAACTTTGTGGAAATAGTAGTTTCTGTGATGATGGACTCTTCAGTGAAACCGGCAGTGCTATCTCCAGAACTCTCTTCATCAGTTGTACTGAGGAATGATGCTCTTTCGGGGAGCATGGTTGATCCACTAAATGGAGGAATAGACTCCACCATTGTCGTTTCGCTACTAATGCCTTCTTCCTCACTGTCTAAAAAGGTAGGTGATGTAACAGGAGACGCTGTTGTTGGTGCCTCAGTGCTGTAGAGAGATGATTTAGCTGTGACAGAGTAGGTTTGAGTAAACATTTCTTGGGTTTGGTCACCAGAGCCATCTTCATATACTGTTGTCAAAACAGAGCTTTCTTCCACCTTCCCAGAAAAAGGCGTTACTGAGGGATTTTCTGTATGACTTGTGGCTGCACTGTCATGTTCTGTAACTGGCAGTCCTGTTGGCTTCTCTGTGCTAAACAAGGATGAGGCTGTAGAAGCTGCAGTGCCATCGCTGGAAATCTCAGTTGTCTGTTCACCTGAACTCTCTTCATCTATTTTTGGGAAAGTAGAACTTGTCTCTGGTGTAGATGATAGTTTCTCAGTCTGTCTTGTGGTTGCAGTCTCTTGTGTTTCAGTTGACACTGATGTTGGTTTCTCAGTACTGTAGAGAGATGAAGCAGCAGTAACACCTTGCTTTAAAGTACCGCTTGTTTCAGTTTCACCTGAGGGTGTAACTGAGGGTGACTCTGTACTCAACTTTGAGGAAATAGTAGTTTCTGTGATGATGGACTCTTTGGTGAAATCGGCAGTGCTATCTCCCGAACTCTCTTCATCAGTTGTACTGAGGAATGATGCTCTTTCAGGGAGCATGGTTGATCCACTAAATGGAGGAATAGACTCCACCATTGTCGTTTCGCTACTAATGCCTTCTTCCTCACTGTCTAAAAAGGTAGATGATGTAACAGGAGACGCTGTTGTTGGTGCCTCAGTGCTATAGAGAGAGGATTTAGCTGTGACAGAGTAGGTCTGAGTAAACATTTCTTGGGTTTGGTCACCAGAGCCATCTTCATATACTGTTGTCACAACAGAGCTTTCTTCCACCTTCCCAGAAAAAGGCGTTACTGAGGGATTTTCTGTACGACTTGTGGCTGCACTGTCATGTTCTGTAACTGGCAGTCCTGTTGGCTTCTCTGTGCTAAACATGGATGAGGCTGTAGAAGCTGCAGTGCCATCACTGGAAATCTCAGTTGTCTGTTCACCTGAACTCTCTTCATCTATTTTTGGGAAAGTAGAACTTGTCTCTGGTGTAGATGATAGTTTCTCAGTCTGTCTTGTGGTTGCAGTCTCTTGTGATTCAGTTGACACTGATGTTGGTTTCTCAGTACTGTAGAGAGATGAAGCAGCAGTAACACCTTGCTTTAAAGTACCGCTTGTTTCAGTTTCACCTGAGGGTGTAACTGAGGGTGACTCTGTACTCAACTTTGAGGAAATAGTAGTTTCTGTGATGATGGACTCTTTGGTGAAACCGGCAGTGCTATCTCCAGAACTCTCTTCATCAGTTGCACTGAGGAATGATGCTCTTTCAGGGAGCATGGTTGATCCACTAAGTGGAGGAATAGACTCCACCATTGTCGTTTCACTACTAATGCCTTCTTCCTCACTGTCTAAAAAGGTAGGTGATGTAACAGGAGACGCTGTTGTTGGTGCCTCAGTGCTATAGAGAGAGGATTTAGCTGTGACAGAGTAGGTCTGAGTAAACATTTCTTGGGTTTGGTCACCAGAGCCATCTTCATATACTGTTGTCACAACAGAGCTTTCTTCCACCTTCCCAGTAAGAGGCGTTACTGAGGGATTTTCTGTACGACTTGTGGCTGCACTGTCATGTTCTATAACTGGCAGTCCTGTTGGCTTCTCTGTGCTAAACAAGGATGAGGCTGTAGAAGCTGCAGTGCCATCACTGGAAATCTCAGTTGTCTGTTCACCTGAACTCTCTTCATCTATTTTTGGGAAAGTAGAACTTGTCTCTGGTGTAGATGATAGTTTCTCAGTCTGTCTTGTGGTTGCAGTCTCTTGTGATTCAGTTGACACTGATGTTGGTTTCTCAGTACTGTAGAGAGATGAAGCAGCAGTAACACCTTGCTTTAAAGTACCGCTTGTTTCAGTTTCACCTGAGGGTGTAACTGAGGGTGACTCTGTACTCAACTTTGAGGAAATAGTAGTTTCTGTGATGATGGACTCTTTGGTGAAACCGGCAGTGCTATCTCCAGAACTCTCTTCATCAGTTGCACTGAGGAATGATGCTCTTTCAGGGAGCATGGTTGATCCACTAAGTGGAGGAATAGACTCCACCATTGTCGTTTCACTACTAATGCCTTCTTCCTCACTGTCTAAAAAGGTAGGTGATGTAACAGGAGACGCTGTTGTTGGTGCCTCAGTGCTATAGAGAGAGGATTTAGCTGTGACAGAGTAGGTCTGAGTAAACATTTCTTGGGTTTGGTCACCAGAGCCATCTTCATATACTGTTGTCACAACAGAGCTTTCTTCCACCTTCCCAGTAAAAGGCGTTACTGAGGGATTTTCTGTACGACTTGTGGCTGCACTGTCATGTTCTATAACTGGCAGTCCTGTTGGCTTCTCTGTGCTAAACAAGGATGAGGCTGTAGAAGCTGCAGTGCCACCACTGGAAATCTCAGTTGTCTGTTCACCTGAACTCTCTTCATCTATTTTTGGGAAAGTAGAACTTGTCTCTGGTGTAGATGATAGTTTCTCAGTCTGTCTTGTGGTTGCAGTCTCTTGTGTTTCAGTTGACACTGATGTTGGTTTCTCAGTACTGTAGAGAGATGAAGCAGCAGTAACACCTTGCTTTAAAGTACCGCTTGTTTCAGTTTCACCTGAGGGTGTAACTGAGGGTGACTCTGTACTCAACTTTGAGGAAATAGTAGTTTCTGTGATGATGGACTCTTTGGTGAAATCGGCAGTGCTATCTCCCGAACTCTCTTCATCAGTTGTACTGAGTATTGATGCTCTTTCAGGGAGCACGGTTGATCCACTAAATGGAGGAATAGACTCCACCATTGTCGTTTCACTACTAATGCCTTCTTCCTCACTGTCTAAAAAGGTAGATGATGTAACAGGAGACGCTGCTGTTGGTGCCTCAGTGCTATAGAGAGAGGATTTAGCTGTGACAGAGTAGGTCTGAGTAAACATTTCTTGGGTTTGGTCACCAGAGCCATCTTCATATACTGTTGTCACAACAGAGCTTTCTTCCACCTTCCCAGAAAAAGGCGTTACTGAGGGATTTTCTGTACGACTTGTGGCTGCACTGTCATGTTCTGTAACTGGCAGTCCTGTTGGCTTCTCTGTGCTAAACAAGGATGAGGCTGTAGAAGCTGCAGTGCCATCACTGGAAATCTCAGTTGTCTGTTCACCTGAACTCTCTTCATCTATTTTTGGGAAAGTAGAACTTGTCTCTGGTGTAGATGATAGTTTCTCAGTCTGTCTTGTGGTTGCAGTCTCTTGTGATTCAGTTGACACTGATGTTGGTTTCTCAGTACTGTAGAGAGATGAAGCAGCAGTAACACCTTGCTTTAAAGTACCGCTTGTTTCAGTTTCACCTGAGGGTGTAACTGAGGGTGACTCTGTACTCAACTTTGAGGAAATAGTAGTTTCTGTGATGATGGACTCTTTGGTGAAACCGGCAGTGCTATCTCCAGAACTCTCTTCATCAGTTGTACTGAGGAATGATGCTCTTTCAGGGTGCATGGTTGATCCACTAAATGGAGGAATAGACTCCACCATTGTTGTTTCGCTACTAATGCCTTCTTCCTCACTGTCTAAAAAGGTAGGTGATGTAACAGGAGACGCTGTTGTTGGTGCCTCAGTGCTATAGAGAGAGGATTTAGCTGTGACAGAGTAGGTTTGAGTAAACCTTTCTTGGGTTTGGTCACCAGAGCCATCTTCATATACTGTTGTCACAACAGAGCTTTCTTCCACCTTCCCAGAAAAAGGCGTTACTGAGGGATTTTCTGTATGACTTGTGGCTGCACTGTCATGTTCTGTAACTGGCAGTCCTGTTGGCTTCTCTGTGCTAAACAAGGATGAGGCTGTAGAAGCTGCAGTGCCATCACTGGAAATCTCAGTTGTCTGTTCACCTGAACTCTCTTCATCTATTTTTGGGAAAGTAGAACTTGTCTCTGGTGTAGATGATAGTTTCTCAGTCTGTCTTGTGGTTGCAGTCTCTTGTGTTTCAGTTGACACTGATGTTGGTTTCTCAGTACTGTAGAGAGATGAAGCAGCAGTAACACCTTGCTTTAAAGTACCGCTTGTTTCAGTTTCACCTGAGGGTGTAACTGAGGGTGACTCTGTACTCAACTTTGAGGAAATAGTAGTTTCTGTGATGATGGACTCTTTGGTGAAATCGGCAGTGCTATCTCCCGAACTCTCTTCATCAGTTGTACTGAGTATTGATGCTCTTTCAGGGAGCATGGTTGATCCACTAAATGGAGGAATAGACTCCACCATTGTCGTTTCGCTACTAATGCCTTCTTCCTCACTGTCTAAAAAGATAGATGATGTAACAGGAGACGCTGTTGTTGGTGCCTCAGTGCTATAGAGAGAGGATTTAGCTGTGACAGAGTAGGTCTGAGTAAACATTTCTTGGGTTTGGTCACCAGAGCCATCTTCATATACTGTTGTCACAACAGAGCTTTCTTCCACCTTCCCAGAAAAAGGCGTTACTGAGGGATTTTCTGTACGACTTGTGGCTGCACTGTCATGTTCTGTAACTGGCAGTCCTGTTGGCTTCTCTGTGCTAAACAAGGATGAGGCTGTAGAAGCTGCAGTGCCATCACTGGAAATCTCAGTTGTCTGTTCACCTGAACTCTCTTCATCTATTTTTGGGAAAGTAGAACTTGTCTCTGGTGTAGATGATAGTTTCTCAGTCTGTCTTGTGGTTGCAGTCTCTTGTGATTCAGTTGACACTGATGTTGGTTTCTCAGTACTGTAGAGAGATGAAGCAGCAGTAACACCTTGCTTTAAAGTACCGCTTGTTTCAGTTTCACCTGAGGGTGTAACTGAGGGTGACTCTGTACTCAACTTTGAGGAAATAGTAGTTTCTGTGATGATGGACTCTTTGGTGAAACCGGCAGTGCTATCTCCAGAACTCTCTTCATCAGTTGTACTGAGGAATGATGCTCTTTCAGGGTGCATGGTTGATCCACTAAATGGAGGAATAGACTCCACCATTGTTGTTTCGCTACTAATGCCTTCTTCCTCACTGTCTAAAAAGGTAGGTGATGTAACAGGAGACGCTGTTGTTGGTGCCTCAGTGCTATAGAGAGATGATTTAGCTGTGACAGAGTAGGTTTGAGTAAACCTTTCTTGGGTTTGGTCACCAGAGCCATCTTCATATACTGTTGTCAAAACAGAGCTTTCTTCCACCTTCCCAGAAAAGGCGTTACTGAGGGATTTTCTGTATGACTTGTGGCTGCACTGTCATGTTCTGTAACTGGCAGTCCTGTTGGCTTCTCTGTGCTAAACAAGGATGAGGCTGTAGAAGCTGCAGTGCCACCACTGGAAATCTCAGTTGTCTGTTCACCTGAACTCTCTTCATCTATTTTTGGGAAAGTAGAACTTGTCTCTGGTGTAGATGATAGTTTCTCAGTCTGTCTTGTGGTTGTAGTCTCTTGTGTTTCAGTTGACACTGATGTTGGTTTCTCAGTACTGTAGAGAGATGAAGCAGCAGTAACACCTTGCTTTAAAGTACCGCTTGTTTCAGTTTCACCTGAGGGTGTAACTGAGGGTGACTCTGTACTCAACTTTGAGGAAATAGTAGTTTCTGTGATGATGGACTCTTTGGTGAAATCGGCAGTGCTATCTCCCGAACTCTCTTCATCAGTTGTACTGAGTATTGATGCTCTTTCAGGGAGCATGGTTGATCCACTAAATGGAGGAATAGACTCCACCATTGTCGTTTCGCTACTAATGCCTTCTTCCTCACTGTCTAAAAAGATAGATGATGTAACAGGGGACGCTGTTGTTGGTGCCTCAGTGCTATAGAGAGAGGATTTAGCTGTGACAGAGTAGGTCTGAGTAAACATTTCTTGGGTTTGGTCACCAGAGCCATCTTCATATACTGTTGTCACAACAGAGCTTTCTTCCACCTTCCCAGAAAAAGGCGTTACTGAGGGATTTTCTGTACGACTTGTGGCTGCACTGTCATGTTCTGTAACTGGCAGTCCTGTTGGCTTCTCTGTGCTAAACATGGATGAGGCTGTAGAAGCTGCAGTGCCATCACTGGAAATTTCAGTTGTCTGTTCACCTGAACTCTCTTCATCTATTTTTGGGAAAGTAGAACTTGTCTCTGGTGTAGATGATAGTTTCTCAGTCTGTCTTGTGGTTGCAGTCTCTTGTGATTCAGTTGACACTGATGTTGGTTTCTCAGTACTGTAGAGAGATGAAGCAGCAGTAACACCTTGCTTTAAAGTACCGCTTGTTTCAGTTTCACCTGAGGGTGTAACTGAGGGTGACTCTGTACTCAACTTTGAGGAAATAGTAGTTTCTGTGATGATGGACTCTTTGGTGAAACCGGCAGTGCTATCTCCAGAACTCTCTTCATCAGTTGTACTGAGGAATGATGCTCTTTCAGGGTGCATGGTTGATCCACTAAATGGAGGAATAGACTCCACCATTGTTGTTTCGCTACTAATGCCTTCTTCCTCACTGTCTAAAAAGGTAGGTGATGTAACAGGAGACGCTGTTGTTGGTGCCTCAGTGCTATAGAGAGATGATTTAGCTGTGACAGAGTAGGTTTGAGTAAACCTTTCTTGGGTTTGGTCACCAGAGCCATCTTCATATACTGTTGTCAAAACAGAGCTTTCTTCCACCTTCCCAGAAAAAGGCGTTACTGAGGGATTTTCTGTATGACTTGTGGCTGCACTGTCATGTTCTGTAACTGGCAGTCCTGTTGGCTTCTCTGTGCTAAACAAGGATGAGGCTGTAGAAGCTGCAGTGCCATCGCTGGAAATCTCAGTTGTCTGTTCACCTGAACTCTCTTCATCTATTTTTGGGAAAGTAGAACTTGTCTCTGGTGTAGATGATAGTTTCTCAGTCTGTCTTGTGGTTGTAGTCTCTTGTGTTTCAGTTGACACTGATGTTGGTTTCTCAGTACTGTAGAGAGATGAAGCAGCAGTAACACCTTGCTTTAAAGTACCGCTTGTTTCAGTTTCACCTGAGGGTGTAACTGAGGGTGACTCTGTACTCAACTTTGAGGAAATAGTAGTTTCTGTGATGATGGACTCTTTGGTGAAATCGGCAGTGCTATCTCCCGAACTCTCTTCATCAGTTGTACTGAGTATTGATGCTCTTTCAGGGAGCATGGTTGATCCACTAAATGGAGGAATAGACTCCACCATTGTCGTTTCGCTACTAATGCCTTCTTCCTCACTGTCTAAAAAGATAGATGATGTAACAGGAGATGCTGTTGTTGGTGCCTCAGTGCTATAGAGAGAGGATTTAGCTGTGACAGAGTAGGTCTGAGTAAACATTTCTTGGGTTTGGTCACCAGAGCCATCTTCATATACTGTTGTCACAACAGAGCTTTCTTCCACCTTCCCAGAAAAAGGCGTTACTGAGGGATTTTCTGTACGACTTGTGGCTGCACTGTCATGTTCTGTAACTGGCAGTCCTGTTGGCTTCTCTGTGCTAAACAAGGATGAGGCTGTAGAAGCTGCAGTGCCATCACTGGAAATTTCAGTTGTCTGTTCACCTGAACTCTCTTCATCTATTTTTGGGAAAGTAGAACTTGTCTCTGGTGTAGATGATAGTTTCTCAGTCTGTCTTGTGGTTGCAGTCTCTTGTGATTCAGTTGACACTGATGTTGGTTTCTCAGTACTGTAGAGAGATGAAGCAGCAGTAACACCTTGCTTTAAAGTACCGCTTGTTTCAGTTTCACCTGAGGGTGTAACTGAGGGTGACTCTGTACTCAACTTTGAGGAAATAGTAGTTTCTGTGATGATGGACTCTTTGGTGAAACCGGCAGTGCTATCTCCAGAACTCTCTTCATCAGTTGCACTGAGGAATGATGCTCTTTCAGGGAGCATGGTTGATCCACTAAATGGAGGAATAGACTCCACCATTGTCGTCTCACTACTAATGCCTTCTTCCTCACTGTCTAAAAAGGTAGGTGATGTAACAGGAGACGCTGTTGTTGGTGCCTCAGTGCTATAGAGAGAGGATTTAGCTGTGACAGAGTAGGTCTGAGTAAACATTTCTTGGGTTTGGTCACCAGAGCCATCTTCATATACTGTTGTCACAACAGAGCTTTCTTCCACCTTCCCAGTAAAAGGCGTTACTGAGGGATTTTCTGTACGACTTGTGGCTGCACTGTCATGTTCTGTAACTGGCAGTCCTGTTGGCTTCTCTGTGCTAAACAAGGATGAGGCTGTAGAAGCTGCAGTGCCACCACTGGAAATCTCAGTTGTCTGTTCACCTGAACTCTCATCATCTATTTTTGGGAAAGAAGAACTTGTCTCTGGTGTAGATGATAGTCTCTCAGTCTGTCTTGTGGTTGCAGTCTCTTGTGTTTCAGTTGACACTGATGTTGGTTTCTCAGTACTGTAGAGAGATGAAGCAGCAGTAACACCTTGCTTTAAAGTACCGCTTGTTTCAGTTTCACCTGAGGGTGTAACTGAGGGTGACTCTGTACTCAACTTTGAGGAAATAGTAGTTTCTGTGATGATGGACTCTTTGGTGAAATCGGCAGTGCTATCTCCAGAACTCTCTTCATCAGTTGTACTGAGTATTGATGCTCTTTCAGGGAGCATGGTTGATCCACTAAATGGAGGAATAGACTCCACCATTGTCGTTTCGCTACTAATGCCTTCTTCCTCACTGTCTAAAAAGGTAGATGATGTAACAGGAGACGCTGTTGTTGGTGCCTCAGTGCTATAGAGAGAGGATTTAGCTGTTACAGAGTAGGTCTGAGTAAACATTTCTTGGGTTTGGTCACCAGAGCCATCTTCATATACTGTTGTCACAACAGAGCTTTCTTCCACCTTCCCAGAAAAAGGCGTTACTGAGGGATTTTCTGTACGACTTGTGGCTGCACTGTCATGTTCTGTAACTGGCAGTCCTGTTGGCTTCTCTGTGCTAAACAAGGATGAGGCTGTAGAAGCTGCAGTGCCATCACTGGAAATCTCAGTTGTCTGTTCACCTGAACTCTCTTCATCTATTTTTGGGAAAGTAGAACTTGTCTCTGGTGTAGATGATAGTTTCTCAGTCTGTCTTGTGGTTGCAGTCTCTTGTGATTCAGTTGACACTGATGTTGGTTTCTCAGTACTGTAGAGAGATGAAGCAGCAGTAACACCTTGCTTTAAAGTACCGCTTGTTTCAGTTTCACCTGAGGGTGTAACTGAGGGTGACTCTGTACTCAACTTTGAGGAAATAGTAGTTTCTGTGATGATGGACTCTTTGGTGAAACCGGCAGTGCTATCTCCAGAACTCTCTTCATCAGTTGTACTGAGGAATGATGCTCTTTCAGGGTGCATGGTTGATCCACTAAATGGAGGAATAGACTCCACCATTGTCGTTTCGCTACTAATGCCTTCTTCCTCACTGTCTAAAAAGGTAGGTGATGTAACAGGAGACGCTGTTGTTGGTGCCTCAGTGCTATAGAGAGAGGATTTAGCTGTGACAGAGTAGGTCTGAGTAAACATTTCTTGGGTTTGGTCACCAGAGCCATCTTCATATACTGTTGTCACAACAGAGCTTTCTTCCACCTTCCCAGTAAAGGGTGTTACTGAGGGATTTTCTGTATGACTTGTGGCTGCACTGTCATGTTCTGTAACTGGTAGTCCAGTTGGCTTCTCTGTGCTAAACAAGGGTGAGGCTGTAGAAGCTGCAGTGCCATCGCTGGAAATCTCAGTTGTCTGTTCACCTGAACTCTCTTCATCTATTTTTGGGAAAGTAGAACTTGTCTCTGGTGTAGATGATAGTTTCTCAGTCTGTCTTGTAGTTGCAGTCTCTTGTGTTTCAGTTGACACTGATGTTGGTTTCTCAGTACTGTAGAGAGATGAAGCAGCAGTAACACCTTGCTTTAAAGTACCGCTTGTTTCAGTTTCACCTGAGGGTGTTACTGATGGTGACTCTGTACTCAACTTTGAGGAAATAGTAGTTTCTGTGATGATGGACTCTTTGGTGAAACCGGCAGTGCTATCTCCAGCACTCTCTTCATCAGTTGTACTGAGGAATGATGCTCTTTCAGGGAGCACGGTTGATCCACTAAATGGAGGAATAGACTCCACCATTGTCGTTTCGCTACTAATGCCTTCTTCCTCACTGTCTAAAAAGGTAGATGATGTAACAGGAGACGCTGTTGTTGGTGCCTCAGTGCTATAGAGAGATGATTTAGCTGTGACAGAGTATGTCTGAGTAAACATTTCTTGGGTTTGGTCACCAGAGCCATCTTCATATACTGTTGTCAAAACAGAGCTTTCTTTCACCTTCCCAGAAAAAGGCGTTACTGAGGGATTTTCTGTACGACTTGTGGCTGCACTGTGATGTTCTGTAACTGGCAGTCCAGTTGGCTTCTCTGTGCTAAACAAGGGTGAGGCTGTAGAAGCTGCAGTGCCATCGCTGGAAATCTCAGTTGTCTGTTCACCTGAACTCTCTTCATCTATTTTTGGGAAAGTAGAACTTGTCTCTGGTGTAGATGATAGTTTCTCAGTCTGTCTTGTGGTTGCAGTCTCTTGTGTTTCAGTTGACACTGATGTTGGTTTCTTAGTACTGTAGAGAGATGAAGCAGCAGTAACACCTTGCTTTAAAGTACCGCTTGTTTCAGTTTCACCTGAGGGTGTTACTGATGGTGACTCTGTACTCAACTTTGAGGAAATAGTAGTTTCTGTGATGACAGACTCTTCGGTGAAATCGGCAGTGCTATCTCCAGAACCCTCTTTGGCAGTTGTACTGAGGAATGATGTTCTTTCAGGGAGCACGGTTGATCCACTAAATGGAGGAATAGACTCCACCATTGTCGTTTCACTACTAATGCCTTCTTCCTCACTGTCTAAAAAGGTAGGTGATGTAACAGGAGACGCTGTTGTTGGTGCCTCAGTGCTATAGAGAGAGGATTTAGCTGTGACAGAGTAGGTCTGAGTAAACATTTCTTGGGTTTGGTCACCAGAGCCATCTTCATATACTGTTGTCACAACAGAGCTTTCTTCCACCTTCCCAGTAAAAGGCGTTACTGAGGGATTTTCTGTACGACTTGTGGCTGCACTGTCATGTTCTGTAACTGGCAGTCCTAATGGCTTCTCTGTGCTAAACAAGGGTGAGGCTGTAGAAGCTGCAGTGCCATCGCTGGAAATCTCAGTTGTCTGTTCACCTGAACTCTCTTCATCTATTTTTGGGAAAGCAGAACTTGTCTCTGGTGTAGATGATAGTCTCTCAGTCTGTCTTGTGGTTGCAGTCTCTTGTGTTTCAGTTGACACTGATGTTGGTTTCTCAGTACTGTAGAGAGATGAAGCAGCAGTAACACCTTGCTTTAAAGTACCGCTTGTTTCAGTTTCACCTGAGGGTGTAACTGAGGGTGACTCTGTACTCAACTTTGAGGAAATAGTAGTTTCTGTGATGATGGACTCTTCGGTGAAACCGGCAGTGCTATCTCCAGAACTCTCTTCATCAGTTGTACTGAGGAATGATGCTCTTTCAGGGAGCATGGTTGATCCACTAAATGGAGGAATAGACTCCACCATTGTCGTTTCGCTACTAATGCCTTCTTCCTCACTGTCTAAAAGGGTAGGGGATGTAACAGGAGACGCTGTTGTTGGTGCCTCAGTGCTATAGAGAGATGATTTAGCTGTGACAGAGTAGGTCTGAGTAAACATTTCTTGGGTTTGGTCACCAGAGCCATCTTCATATACTGTTGTCGAAACAGAGCTTTCTTCCACCTTCCCAGAAAAAGGCGTTACTGAGGGATTTTCTGTATGACTTGTGGCTGCACTGTCATGTTCTGTAACTGGCAGTCCAGTTGGCTTCTCTGTGCTAAACAAGGATGAGGCTGTAGAAGCTGCAGTGCCATCGCTGGAAATCTCAGTTGTCTGTTCACCTGAACTCTCTTCATCTATTTTTGGGAAAGTAGAACTTGTCTCTGGTGTAGATGATAGTTTCTCAGTCTGTCTTGTGGTTGCAGTCTCTTGTGTTTCAGTTGACACTGATGTTGGTTTCTTAGTACTGTAGAGAGATGAAGCAGCAGTAACAGCTTGCTTTAAAGTACCGCTTGTTTCAGTTTCACCTGAGGGTGTTACTGATGGTGACTCTGTACTCAACTTTGAGGAAATAGTAGTTTCTGTGATGACAGACTCTTCGGTGAAATCGGCAGTGCTATCTCCAGAACCCTCTTTGGCAGTTGTACTGAGGAATGATGTTCTTTCAGGGAGCACGGTTGATCCACTAAATGGAGGAATAGACTCCGCCATTGTCGTTTCACTACTAATGCCTTCTTCCTCACTGTCTAAAAAGGTAGGTGATGTAACAGGAGACGCTGTTGTTGGTGCCTCAGTGCTATAGAGAGAGGATTTAGCTGTGACAGAGTAGGTCTGAGTAAACATTTCTTGGGTTTGGTCACCAGAGCCATCTTCATATACTGTTGTCACAACAGAGCTTTCTTCCACCTTCCCAGTAAAAGGCGTTACTGAGGGATTTTCTGTACGACTTGTGGCTGCACTGTCATGTTCTGTAAGTGGCAGTCCTGTTGGCTTCTCTGTGCTAAACAAGGATGAGGCTGTAGAAGCTGCAGTGCCATCGCTGGAAATCTCAGTTGTGTGTTCACCTGAACTCTCTTCATCTATTTTTGGGAAAGTAGAACTTGTCTCTGGTGTAGATGATAGTTTCTCAGTCTGTCTTGTAGTTGCAGTCTCTTGTGTTTCAGTTGACACTGATGTTGGTTTCTCAGTACTGTAGAGAGATGAAGCAGCAGTAACAGCTTGCTTTAAAGTACCGCTTGTTTCAGTTTCACCTGAGGGTGTAACTGAGGGTGACTCTGTACTCAACTTTGAGGAAATAGTAGTTTCTGTGATGACGGACTCTTTGGTGAAATCGGCAGTGCTATCTCCAGAACTCTCTTTAGCAGTTGTACTGAGGAATGATGCTCTTTCAGGGAGCATGGTTGATCCACTAAATGGAGGAATAGACTCCACCATTGTCGTTTCACTACTAATGCCTTCTTCCTCACTGTCTAAAAAGGTAGGTGATGTAACAGGAGACGCTGTTGTTGGTGCCTCAGTGCTATAGAGAGAGGATTTAGCTGTGACAGAGTAGGTCTGAGTAAACATTTCTTGGGTTTGATCACCAGAGCCATCTTCATATACTGTTGTCACAACAGAGCTTTCTTCCACCTTCCCAGTAAAAGGCGTTACTGAGGGATTTTCTGTACGACTTGTGGCTGCACTGTCATGTTCTGTAACTGGCAGTCCTGTTGGCTTCTCTGTGCTAAACAAGGATGAGGCTGTAGAAGCTGCAGTGCCATCGCTGGAAATCTCAGTTGTGTGTTCACCTGAACTCTCTTCATCTATTTTTGGGAAAGTAGAACTTGTCTCTGGTGTAGATGATAGTTTCTCAGTCTGTCTTGTAGTTGCAGTCTCTTGTGTTTCAGTTGACACTGATGTTGGTTTCTCAGTATTGTAGAGAGATGAAGCAGCAGTAACAGCTTGCTTTAAAGTACCGCTTGTTTCAGTTTCACCTGAGGGTGTAACTGAGGGTGACTCTGTACTCAACTTTGAGGAAATAGTAGTTTCTGTGATGATGGACTCTTTGGTGAAATCGGCAGTGCTATCTCCAGAACTCTCTTTAGCAGTTGTACTGAGGAATGATGCTCTTTCAGGGAGCATGGTTGATCCACTAAATAGAGGAATAGACTCCACCATTGTCGTTTCACTACTAATGCCTTCTTCCTCACTGTCTAAAAAGGTAGATGATGTAACAGGAGACGCTGTTGTTGGTGCCTCAGTGCTATAGGGAGATGATTTAGCTGTGACAGAGTAGGTCTGAGTAAACATTTCTTGGGTTTGATCACCAGAGCCATCTTCATATACTGTTGTCACAACAGTGCTTTCTTCCACCTTCCCAGTAAAAGGCGTTACTGAGGGATTTTCTGTACGACTTGTGGCTGCACTGTCATGTTCTGTAACTGGCAGTCCAGTTGGCTTCTCTGTGCTAAACAAGGGTGAGGCTGTAGAAGCTGCAGTGCCATCGCTGGAAATCTCAGTTGTCTGTTCACCTGAACTCTCTTCATCTATTTTTGGGAAAGTAGAACTTGTCTCTGGTGTAGATGATAGTTTCTCAGTCTGTCTTGTGGTTGCAGTCTCTTGTGTTTCAGTTGACACTGATGTTGGTTTCTCAGTACTGTAGAGAGATGAAACAGCACTTACACCTTGCTTAGAAGTACCGCTTGTTTCGGTTTCACTTGAGGGTGTTACTGATGGTGAGTCTGTACTCAATTGTGAAGAAATAGTAGTTTCAGAGATGATGGACTCTTTGGTGAAATTGGATGTTTGTTTCTCAGTACTGTAGAATGAAGACGCTGTAGTAACACCTGGCATTGATGTGACACTTGGCCTTTGACCTCCAGAACTCACTTCTGCTTTTGAAGTGGGTAGTGTGCTGGTAACTATGTCAGTGATGCCAGTAACTGCTTTTTCCTGTGAACTGGCTGGTGTGTCTGTTTGTTCTTTGGTCACTTCACTGCCTATGCTAGATGTGGCAGTTGGAGTCACACTGATACCAGAAGAAACAGTAGCCCTTAATGTTACTTCTGATTCTGATGGTTTTACTGTTCTTTCTGTAATGTCGCTCATTGATGTTCCATGTGATACTGTCCAACGCTCAGAACCTGAATCTGCAGTTGTGAAAATGGTGGTATCTTCAGGAATAAGTGATATCTTTTCAGTGGTTGTGATATCTGACATTTCTTGTGACAGTGATGTTGGTATTTTAGTGTTGAAAGCAGACGGAGCTACAGTGCCAGCTATGGTTGAATCATGGAATGTTTCGTATTGTGTTGTTTCTATAACTGATTTTGCTGTGCTGAGCAAGGTAGCTGCTGCAGTTGTTCCTGTTGATGTTGTACCAGAAGTCTGGTCATCTGTCATATGTCCAGCATTGCTAGGATGCAATGGACTTGACTCTGTAATGCCACTTAGTGGGGTTACTGTTTGTATAGGTTTTGTGTCTGCAGTTACACTTGTGGTTTCCACCGTTGAAATTGCAACTGAAATAGACTCATCTGGTTTGATTGTGCTCATGACTGGAGTAGAGGTTTCATCTTTTGAAGTAGCCTTATATGTGCCACCAGTGGCGGTTTCCTCACTTGTATCCACTATTTGGTCAGGGAGGTCAGTCATCAGTGATGCACTTTGTGTTGAGTACTGACTGAAATATTCAGTGAATGGGGCCATTGTTGTTGTGATAATTTTAATAGCACTATATAAGAGGGAGTCAGTGGTTGCAACGGATTCATGAGAGGGATGAGTTGTTTTCTCATCTTGTTTCCACCCCTCATGCATAATGGTGGGTTTTGACATTTTTTCCACCTCACCAGTGACAGGAACAAATGTTTTATCTGTGCCTGTTTGTACTGTTTGTAATGTTTCTTCACTCTCCCATGTAGCTTGATCTGTTGCACTTAAACTTGAAGGTGATGTCACGGTCCCTTCAGAGATATGTGATGGTGGGCTGGTTGTAAACATGTTTACTGTTTGAACCCCTGAACCTTCCTCCTCTGGTGTAGACATTGCATCAGTGGGGGAGATGGAAGACATTTGGCTGTCTGTACTCCCTCCCTGACTTATGACTGTACCCTCTGAAGTTTCAGCCAGGATAGGTGTTACAGATGCTGATGATTCAGTCTTACCTAAATCTACAGTTGGTGTTATCTCAGTCTTGTCTGTCTGTTCAGGAGAGGCTGAATCACTAGATACTGAAGGAGCCGCTGTGCTGAAGGCAAATTCTTTTGGGGTTTGGGTCTCTTTCCTTCCCTCCACATCTTGAGTGGAGCTCTGTGAGTCATTAGTTGTTGATGTTGGTGTTTTCACATCAGCGTCAGCAGAAGAGGGAGTGTACATAGTCTGTAATGTAGACTGAGTGCTGTCTCCAGCAGCTGGAGTGGCAGATGTGCTCTTTGTTTCCTCTGTGGTTTCAGCTTTATCTTTGGCCATGTAAAGTTCAGTTGAATAAGTAACAGTGGATTGGTCCTTAGCTCTCTCTGTCTGAGTCACTTCTGAGTCACTTTTCACATACGTTGGAGTCCTCCCTGACTCGCCTACCTCTTCTTGTACAGATGTGGTGATGACAGTGGTGGTTTCCTCAGCCTTCGTTGTTTGGATTTCTTTAGTTGCTTTGGTGATCTGTGGCTCAGCTGGTGTTACTGTAGGAACAAAGTCAGCAGAGGTAGCTGTGACATCACTCATCCCCTCTGTGGCATCTGTGGCAGCTGGACCAGCTTCAGTTTTTTGTGTAGTTTTTGATTGAGCCCTGTCATCCACTGTTGAGGCCGAAACAGAAGTTGTATCTTTCTGTGTGGGGGATTTTGTGGTCAGCTCAATTTCAGGGAGTACATGAGGAGGTGTTGATTCATCTGTTGGGATTATATCAGGGTCATAGTTATGAACATCTGGGATCTCTGTTGAGGTCAGTATTGCTGTGGCTTCCTCTGTAGATTCAGTGACATTATCATCAGTGAGATCGGTCCAACTATAATCAAACACCGTTGTTATTTCATCGCTTGTTCCCAGAATCGTCACATTTGTAAAAATCTGGGTACCTTTGGCCTCTTTTTCAGCTGGGCTCTGTGGCTCCAGTGTGATCTCATGTTTACCATTTATAAAGCTAACAGTTGGAGTGATGGTTACAGCAGCTTGGGAGATAAGGTCTGGGTCTCCAGTCTGTGGGATGGGATCACCATCAGCTATGGAAGGGGTGGGATGGTCAGGCACAACTGGTATGCCAGGAGACTGAGAATCTTGTGGTTGTAGAGCCTGGTCAACTGCAAAGGAAATACAAGAAAATAAGTGTGTGACAATTTTATTGTAAAACAGAAAAACATCAAAAACATTCTCTGTGAAAGTTGGACTGTACTCCCTACAAGAACATGCATTCCAGTTTTGTTTGCATTCCCATTAATTAATGAAAAAAATTGAGATGCCATGGCATCAAGCTTTTAACAAATCCAACAATAAGCATAGGGCAGGTGGCCAAGAGAACAGAGCTAATCTTAATCCTAAAATGAACAGTTTGATTTAGTTTGGCCTGAATTGTTTACCAGTGTTGGCATAATGTAGTACAAGCACACACAACAACATGAAATCCTTTGTTATACAAACTTTACTACTCTCTCTTACTCTCGCTCTCTCACTCTCTCTGTCTCTCTGCCCCTTGTCCCCGCTCTCTTTAGTTCCCACAAACAATGATTCAGAAAGATTATTGGTTGCGAACAAGAACACCTGCAGCAGCTCAGCTCTGCCAAAAGATACCTGGGAGTCAGGCAATGGATCCACTTCACTGACCCACACACACTTCATACTCAAACACTACCTCTTTCTCCTCTCTCTATCTCTCTAAATATATATATATATCTTTTCTTTTTTGGGTGATTTAAAAAAAAAATAATTTGTTATGCATTTCCAAGTCAATCTTCATAACCCCATTGTAAAATCATATAATAACCTAATGTATCTTGCCAGTGTCATTTCTATCGAAACTATTTTATGGAATTTAATTAACTTTATACCAATGAGTTTATGGTCACCTGCACTGTATTTGTGACTAATCTATCAATGTATACAATATATTTCAGAATTAGTACTAGTTAGTAGAAGATGGCAACCCATAATAATTAATTTTACAGTTTAAAAACAAGACAAAGACAGAATACTCTGTTCAGTATAAAACAACACATAGCAGCCGGTTAGCTTAGCAAAAAAAGTGGAAACAGTACGAAACAGCTAGCCTGGTACATCTAAAGGAAACCAAATCCGCCTACTTGCACCGCCAAAGCTCATTAATTAAAGATGTGCCCCCCAAAAAATAATGAACTATAGTTTAAAGTTTTTAACAGATTAATTGACTGTAGCCTTCTATTTGATTTACAGTTCCCAAAATGTCGAACTATTCCATTAAGGATCAGTTAAGCAAGCCTTAGTGAAGTGAATGATAAATAGATAATTTATTACAGAATGTGTGGTTCTGTTGATTGTCATTAAAGAATCGGTGGTTCTGTTTATTGTTTTGTAACATTTGTGGTTGGCATGCCTCAGAGTATCTACATTTCAAGTCATAATATGTCATATAAAGGCTTTGTAACCAGTAAATGCAATTGTCTTAAATTGATCAGAAACACATGTTTTGTTTTTTTTACAACACACTTCTCCATGTGCCACAATATTTTCCACAAGCTTTTCCCACACAAACTCGGAGGACAGAAAGAGACCTCGAGTGTCTCAGCTGAGCCACATCACATGATGTAACAGTAAAAGTAGCTATAATCACTCGCTTTGGTCAAGCAGCCTCCAGCTGTCCTCACAGAGAGGGGAGACTTTGTGTTAGCAATGACATCACCTCTTGTGGTGGTGTTCAGTCTGAAGACAGGCATCTGTGCTTACTCAGGTAGACTGCCAACACAGCTGTTATTGCCAGACTGGCTGTCAGTTAGCTGGTACATGAACACACAAGGAGAGAAATACTGCAAATACATAGTAATTTGCAGTACAAATACACACAAGGCATAAAGAGACACATATATTGTATATCTGCCTCTTTCAGTGCTTGCACACACAAACATACTGGTTATGTAATGTGTATATTCTTGGCAATTATAACTAATCTGGATCACTGAGTGCTGCTCTCTCAGGCAGGTTCAGCACCTACCAAGAAATCAGACCAAATTCCAAAAACTGCTAAATGACCAGTTCATTAACTTGTGTCCTTTCCAATTCACCAGACCCCTCTAGTTCATTAACTTGTGTCCTTTCCAATTCACCAGACCCCTCTACTCCAACGTGAGCTGCTCTTCAGGGACAAAGAATGAGTCACCACTGCAATGTTCTCAGATGTGAGTGCAAATTAAAGGAGCAAAAAATTATACAGCTGCTATTTGCATGTGAGATCATGTGCTGTTGACCTGAAAGTCATGTCCTAAATATGTATTTCAAATGTCTCAATTTGCTTTAATGGATAAAATAGTTGACGTAAATCAAAAAGTACAATTCTAGTCATCCCTGTGACACCTCGAGAAAGCAAGAAATTGATTTTACAGATTATATAATGTCACTATAATATAAAAATGACAGACTCTCCCTCTCTCTTTCCCACCCTCTCTGTCTTGTCTTTGTCAAAATAATTATCAGGACATCTGCTCAGCTAGACTGACAAGGTGCCAAAGCTAAGCGGTCTTTCAACAGCAGTCCACACTGAGAACACACACAAACATGAGCCTGAGGGAACTGGAAAACAAAACTTCAACTTGATCCATCGTGGAAGAACTTAAAATTGACTCACTCAAACATAAGTACATAGTATAAGTACACTGTAACTGCTCGTATATTACAGTAAAATTACAACTAAATATTATAGTTGGAGAGCAAGTCACAGAACCTTAACTATAATTTAAACGAACAGAACAACAACACAAAAATGTATGTAAATTTAAGAGAAATCCTGCCATTAGTCACTAAACATGGCCTGTTTGATTTTCTGTGAGTTCTCAGTTTACTCCCACCACTATACATTCTCACTGGCAGAGAATCAAACTCTCTCTCTTTCTCTGTCTCTCTCCACTTCAGCACCCTGGACAGCACAGAGTCCCCCAACTCCCAGTTACTGTAGCGCAACAAATCTGAATTACGCTTAAATTATCAAATACAAATAAGTCAAATCAAGCTTTAATGGTTCATGGCATTGTTTGTATGTCTTACCTGATGCAGCGACCACTGTACCTGGAGTGGTGGTCGTGTCAGCCACAGCTGAAGCCGCGATTGCAGATGTAAAGAACTCTGTGCCAATCTCTGTTGCTGTGTCATCCTCCGTCAGGGCGTCACCGCTGTGCTCTGGCAGCAGAGTGGTGGACTCATCAAAGACGTGTACACTTGATGACGATGTCACATCCTCGCCAGGCGTTCCACTGTCAATCAGGACGGTGGTGGCTGTCGCAGCTGCAGATGCAGTCTCTTCATTATAGACAACAGCCGTTGTCTCTACATGCTGCATTTGAGGTGTGGTTTTTGTTGCAGTGCTGGTCATTGTGCCATCGATACTAGTGCTGTCTGATGAGCTGGATGTGAGGTCCAGTTGGGATGGTGGAGTAGGTGGCAGTGCATATACAGCAAAATTATTCTCATCCATCTCATCTATCACATCTAGCTCATCCACGTAATCGGGGCCTAGTGTTGTTGAATGAAGCCCAGTGGTTGATGGTGTTGATTCGGAGGAGCTGAACACCTCCTCGCTGGTCAGTTCAGTTGATTCTGTTGGAGTGTCGGTGAGGTCAGAGGCCATCTCTGTGGTGATCCCAGAATCCAGAATAGTTTCCTCAGTCTTCCCCTCGGCAAACATGGGCTCTGTGATGAGAGAGGTGTCTGGTATCGGGACATCAGGTTTGATTGTGCTGATCTCAATTACTGAGTGATCATCTGGCTCCTCGATGGGCTTTGACACTGTCTCTGTGGTGTCAGTGCTTTCTGTTTTGTTTTGTGGTTTTGTCAATGCATCACCACGTTGGGAAACGAATTCCTCATTGGTTACATTTTCACTTACAAAGTCATTAACGTCTAAGTCTGGTACGGCTGTTACAATGTCAGTGTCCTCAGGTTCCTCTTTGATGGTTGGTGCGACTGTGGTGATTAACTCTTCTTCTTGGTCTGCTGGAGTGGGGCGAGGTGGAGCCATACTGGTAGAGAACATAGATGGAGGATTTGTAACTGATGAGTCTGGAGACTCTTCTGCCTCTGATACAGTTTCAGATGTGGGGGTTTGCGTAGTGGTGCTACTTTCCACTAAAGGGATGGTTGTAGTGTAGCTGATGGTGCTGGTGATCATTTCTACCACAGACACATCCACAATGGAAGTCTGGTTGATTACCTCCCTCCTTCCTAAAAAACACATATAAGCACATCACAAATTATAAAAGCAAAAATAAAAATAATCTGTCTGACCATTATTTCTCATTATAGTGTTATTATTTTCAAGACACTGAGCAACTAGCACTATTATCTCTGGAGTATCACCTCACCTTAATTACCTTACTTTAATCTTACATTATTTTTTAAAACCATTCATTTCCACAGTGGGTCTTTTGGTTGCCACTAGAATGCTTTATCTGCCACATTATATTACTGCCCAGATACAATACAAAATGGCCAGGATTCACACAGTGTTACTTTAAGAATATAGACACCCTGCTGAGGTGTAGATAGATTAAAACAAAGATCCAACTGACAAATTGTCAGTCACCTCACTTGAATCAAATGTTACATATTCATGATGTCTAAAACAGATACAATTATTATGAAATATAATTTTTTTATACATTATACGTATGTGAAGCAGGCAAGTGAAACATGCCCTACGAGTCGAATAGCCAGAGCTGCAATAACACTTAACATTAAGAGTTCCTAGAAACCTTAGTGTTAAGGACTTCCTCTAATAACTCTTAATGTTGTTTATAACCTCTTCTAACATTAATTCACTCAATCTTCTCAAAGAAACAGTGGAACCAGAGCTAAGTGTGGAACAAAATATTTATCTAAACCAGAATTGTTGGAAAATAACCTCAATTATCTTAAGGTATCAGTGAGGCCAATGCTATCAAGCTGGCTTTCCATTTCTTGTACCTGATGAAATTGGGTAGTTTGTCATCAGCTTATTGCAGATGAGACCAAGTGCACTTTATTTCTCTAAACATTTCCCAATCTGCCTGAAAGGATTCACATGCCTGTAACAGAGGAATAAAAACAGCATATAAACTTGTGTTTATATGAAACTAGTGTTGTGGGTTTGTTAGAGTTGTCCTGTTTATTTTTGTCCTCTATTCTTTGCACTGTCTCTCCTCCGACACTCCGTCTGAGTCTTCACTTATGTTTTATCCTTGAGCATCTTTTCATCTCTCAGTGATGGTTTTCAAATGCTCACTAATGAACATATTCTTAAGGTTTTATTCATGAGTAAGTCCTTTTAACTCCTTTATGTGTCACTTCGCTCTTCCTCCCTGCCCGTCTGTCCTCCCATGCTCTCTCATTTACTCACACCCTTAAAAAGCAGTGCTGCAGCTCTAGAAAGCTTCCCTCGCTGCCGCAGACAGATTGTGTAAAGCCAGCTGTTGACCATTACGTACTAGCCCTCTTTCTTCATGAAACTATCTCTGATGTAAGGTGTGAGACACGTTTTTCCCTAACAGGAAAAATAGGGCCTGCTCTCAGAGGGAGTGCATTATCTCACCAGTGCACTTGAGCTGTTGCTGTTACAGAGGCCTTTGTTTTCTTCAGACCAATCCAGAGTCCAATCAGAGACCAATTATCCCCCTTTTCCCTCTGCACCAGCCACCTTTCCCCCTGTCTTTCTGTGCAGTCTAGCTTACGTAGGTTCACATAATATTTCATTTTTGAGCTATTATTGGGAGTGGGAAAGCAGGAAATGATGGAGTGACTCCCACCAAACAAGGGTACTTGAAAAGCACTTAGACGGGGGCGTAAATACAACAGGACTGACAGAGCTGACATGGAATACACAGAGCAGGAGGTGAGGGTGGCCTGTTTGCGTGCCCTCTGAACTCCATGGGGACTTATCACTGTGAGAGGTAGCATAGCTCAGGGGCAGTAAATGGCCAGGCAGGGACCGGCTTATCTGTCCAACCTCTCATTTGTAAAGATGGAAAGGCCAGGTCAGGGGTCACCGAGGATGACTGAATTTAGAAGTCCAGCAGTAGCTTAGTCCATTATCCAAACGTCTGCTCTGATAAGTACAAGTGAGAGTGACAGAGGGCAAACTCTGACAGCGGAAATGAGATGAGAAAGGCGAAAAGGGAGCAAGATAGTGAGACTAAAAAGGCTGACAGGTGTGGTATTAGTTACTTTTGCTGGTTTTTTTAAACTATTATCTGTCATTTGGTTTTGCCTTGGGGATACTGATCAGTTAAGAACACTCACATTTTAAAAGATTAGCCTTATTCTACCACCTTCCAGTGAACCATGAAGTGTCACTATTTATTGGGATCCGTGGTTATATTCTCCTGTCTGTTTGCAACAAGGAGTCATTTTCACGTATACCTAAATGTGTCCTACATGCAAAGTAGATTCAAGAAAGTGAAAAATGTTACAGAAGTCACGGCTGATGCATTCCCACATTCCAACACTGTTCCTACTCAGATTTATTTATAATTTGGTATTATTGAAATAACAATTAATTTGGCGTTTCATAAATGTGATACAATTTTGAACAGCACTCAAGTACATAAGTACATTTAGCTCGTTTCACATCAACAGCGAGGTTGTATAAGGAAGAAGCTTAAGGAGCCGTGATTAGCCTAGCTGGAAGTAAAGCAATTTTTGTTTTCAAAAACAGACAGGTACTGACTGTTCACAAACTCTCAAGCAGACTATTTGTCATTAATTAAACATTAAACTGTAATGTCCATTGCTTTTAAAGTAAACAGAATTTAGAATTCACAGAAATGGGCGGGAAACTAAAATGTGAGACAGTGAGGTCAAGTGCACGCTGCAATCTGTGTGAACAGTCTGGCTCACAACATGCAATGCTCAAAAGAAAACCATTCCTCTGCTTTTCTCATGTTGTTGTTGTAATTGAAACTATGCAATCATGACGCAAAAAAAACAGAACAATGGACAAAAGATGAGACAGGTTGTAAACATTTTAAAATGTTGGTCTGGTGTGGGAATGTGTACAGTGGTACAAAGAAGAAGAAAATCAAAGGGTGGGGGAGCAAAAGGCAAATAGGACATATGAGATCATAGTTCCTCACAGTCCAGGCCTGGTTCTGACAGGGAATGGTCTGTGCCTTCAATCACTGCCTGCCACTGTCTAAACCAAATGTAAACATATACACCATATGACCCATTATACGCAGGTAGCACTTTGTTCCCTGACATATGGTAAATACACTACATACTAACAACAAGACCCTGTGAGTGAGTTTACCTTTAAAACAGTAAGCTCCAAGCTTTGTAGTTGGGTCTGGGAAGCCAGTCTGGTTTCTGTAGCGGTACATGGTCCTGACGCCGAGCAGGCCTCCCCCACACTTCATTCTGGGTACTGCAACAGGATGTCGTGCACTGCCATCGGAGAGCCAACCATAGTCACATCTGTCCAGACCATGTCGCCAGGCAGCATGCAGCTGACCAGGGGATGCCAGGACAGCATTCCTCTTCTTACACTCTTTACTGGCCTCCTCAAAAGTCATCTTATCGGTCACAGAAGCATAGTACACCTCACCTGAAATAAAGTAAAATCCAACAAAGACTTAACAAAAAGCATTAATTCAAAGGCAGCACGGTAACATCAGGGATTATGGAAACAAAATCAGATCTCTCTGACTAAGCAGCCACCCAGGGCAGAGGGTTCAATTCACTGTTAAACCAATTTTACAAACTTTGGCATGAATCAGTGCTGTATTACTTACAGATGGACGGTCATTTCATATGTCCTTTTTAATTATTTGCACTGAAAAGAGAGCTAACCAGCTATCATTTGGATTAATCTGCAGCCACAGAATTTTAGTTAAATTTGACCTTTCAGAAGAGACATAGCCCAAAAACAGCTGACAAAAGTCGCAGCTGTGCAAGGCACCGACCCAAAACATCTCCCACCAATCATATTTAGGACAACAGTAGTTCATTCATTATATTAATCTGAGGTGGGATAGCAATGCAGACAATGTGCCTGGCCTGTCAATGAATGCATCTGTACTTCAAGACATGATGTTTTCCCCTCGGGGTGAGTGAACTAGATTACACCTTCTATGGTTTCTTCCTTCATGTTTGTGTAAGGATCTTCAGAAAGGTTACTGCACTATGACAATTATGAGCATTTGTCTTTGCCTACAGGGTAATATAAATGAAAGACTACAGAAAGCAATATCTTAATTGAAACCAAACATCATTACAAGAGAGCATGACTGACTGACTACATGTTTTTAGTTAGTCTAGGGCGTGACATTTCAAATATCCCATGTTTTTTTCATCCCATTGATTTACAATGGCATTGAGATTAGGAGATGCTTTCCACCCAGAAATGTCTTCCCTCTCAAATGCAGACTAGAGACAACAACTTCACTATTTTATAAGGCAATTTTATTGTTTCATTAAATGTATGTTCAGTCATTTAAAATATACTGATGACTACTAAGTCATTTAGTAATGAAAGTTATTGGTAAGAAGCTACTTTTTCATCTATATCTCAAACTCCTCTAGATTGACAAATTATAGCCAGATTTTAGCTCAATGTGCATCTTAAAGCAGCTATTTGAATTTTTCTTGTTGCGAAGCCATTTTCATTCAACTTCAGAACATGTCATATCACATCAGCCAAACATGTATGTTTTCCTAGAACATATAAAAGGGCACACTCAGGGCAACTAACTGAACAAAGCTGGCATCTGTATTTGACGACCTGGGAATGAGAACGGTTTGTCAAGAAACTCGCAAAAAACATAAAGAGCTCTATCTACAGCCAGTGTTTTTATTGTCTGTTCTGGGCTACTGTAGGAACATGGTAGTCCAGCATGGCGGACTCCATGGAAGTCGACCAGCGGCATCTGTAGATAAAAATGCCTCCTTCGAAGGTAACAAAAACACAACAATTCCTATATTTACGTAATTATACACTAATAAAAACATACCTGTCGATAGATCCTCCTAAATGTACAGTTTAATACACACAATATTTATACAACATACACACAAAGCAATTAACTCTTAATTAGAGTGTTTTGATGTATGGGTGAGAAACACTGTTTACTAAGAACATCCTATTCATCATGTACAACTGGACCAGAATACAGTGAGGTCAAAGATGCATGTATAGTCTCTTGCAGAGATTGAAGAAGATGCATGTGCATGTCCCTGGTGGCTTGTGTAGTGGTGACGTTTCCTGGCTGACACCATTGTCTACATCTGTCTACATCTGTCTTATAATACAAATGTCACAATACTGATTGATGGCTTCATATTTACAACTAATTGATTTGCAACTTGTGCCAAAATAATACTTAGTGCATTATACTTATATAATGCACTGTAGCAGAGCTGCACTGAACAAATCCCAGATAAGAGGAGCAATGACTGAGGGCTGACTGGAGTTCAGATGTGTCAAGAGGGATGTTAACACTCATAAAACTTTTTGAGGAGTTGAGTCGGTCGGCAGTAACAGGCTGGATAATGAACAGACAGAGAGAAAGACTGTTGGCTGTGAAATGAAGACTTCTCATAAGCACTGCCAAAGACATTTAAAAACCCCATTATCACATTTTTGTTGGCTACTTTTTCACAAATCGCTACGGTAGAGAATACATTTTGAATCTTGCTTCAGAGTCAAATTATTAGGAAGTTCTCTCTGACCCCAACTCCCTTTTTTACAATATGTAAAGTTGTTTGGCACAACAAAATATATAAAAGATCTCACATTTTTACCAATGAAGTATTCTAACAAAACAATTGAGATTATTTCCACAGCGGTCTTATGAGCTGTAAAAGTTATTTGCTTTAGCACTGTTTCATCATTTCAGTCAGAGGATGTGGCAGTGCCTCTAAAAGACACTACAACAACTAAAAGACCACTACAAAAGCCTTTTGTTACTGACTCACCATCAAGTTTGTCTACGTAACAGAATACATCATAGGTGTCCGTGGGTTTCCTGGTCCCGTATGACCTAACACCAGGTTTTGTCAGTAGGTTACCAAAGCAGCCCTTCCTTGGCTTTGTGATTGGGTATCTTTGTAGATAGAGAAACAAAGAGCCATTATAATACATAGGTTACATCATCTTAATTTTCTGCAAAATGTTTTTACATTACATCAGAATTCAATCCAAAGCGTATATCATAGAATAGCAGTGTTGTTTGAAATATACAGCAGAGAATTGAAATGCGGCTAACCTCACTGTCTGGTCAGCAATCCAGCCGGCATCACATTGATCAAAGCCATCCTCATAGGCTGCTTTCAGTTGGTCATATGTAGCAATGGTTGCTCCAATATTTTGGCAAGTTTGGACAGCCTTCTGGTAGTCCAAAGTGTACCTGCTGGTGCTCGCTCGGTAGTGAAAGACAACACCTGGCAACAAATAGTACAAAACAAAAATGACCATCTATAAATGAAATATAATGGAGGTTTGTATAGGAACATGAACATAGTTATCTGGAATTCATCAGCATAATTTCAGTGCAATAAATTATTGCAAATGTCTTATAAAGCACACACCATGAGTGAAATAATTGAGTCTCTCAGCGTCTTTGGAAAGGAGGAACTTTGCAATAAACCAAAAGGATACGCGAAATACTCTACAGTTCACCACAAATGAACAAGATAACTGCAGATGATGCCAGGGCCCTGAAATCCCCATATTTGTGGACAGTAAACAAACGCAGAAGATATGATTGATAGTCCTAATTAACATTGCAGATAGTTGGAAAAGAGGTTGTGCAGATTGTAAACCAGTGACAACCAAAACTATCCCAGTATCCCCCCACCCCGCCCATGTTTTCTACATCCCCAAAACATGAGTTATATCTCCCAGAATGCTTCGCAAGAGAGAAAATGTAGAATGCACATAATGACACTAGGTAAGGAAGGGTAACCCCCTGCCCACCTCCCCCAAGGAGACTATTACTTTTGGTTTGGAGGTATTGCAGTAATGTTGTATTATCATATACATAATTTAAAACTTGTGTAAATTTGATGAGGGATATTGGGGAATATTGTTATTGCTCAGTGAAGGCTAAGTCTTGGTAACACCCACTGAGTGCCCCACCAAGAAGGAAATCCCCACTGACAAGGTGGCACCAAAGATGACACTGATGGATGAGGTTATAACATAGCTTTTGCTTTGCCCATACCAACATGTGGAACACCACTGGTGTTTGGATTTACCATGGGTTAGATGGATGAACACTGGAATTAAAACATTGCAGTACTTGGAATGGACAGGGACCAAAGTCTCATCTGAAAACTGTGGTTACTCTGCATAACTACCGGGTAGCTGCTGCTATCAAAGTAAGCAGAAGGGCGCCCAAAGTTCTCTCATATCGTTTACATTTCTATCACCACTGGTATTGCATTTCACTATTATTAAGCCCTTGCAGCAACTCCCCTCTACATTCAGAGAGTATCTTGGGGAAGCATTTTTTGTCTCATTCCAGTATGACATGGGAAGGAAATCATGAATCTCTTACCGTTGACATCAAGGTTAACTGTATCCTGGGTGTCCTCAATGCCGTACATGACCTCACAGCGATAGGTGCCTGCATCACTGGCGCGCAGCTTGACCATTGTCAGTGAGGCGTCGCCTACATCCTCAGGGTGGCTGGGCACTGATACACGATTCCTGTAGCTGGAGCCTATTTTAATGACCCCATTTTGTGCCACCAGCACTGTGGATTCTACTTCTCCCTCTATTTTGGTCCATTTGATCCGCAAGTAATCTCTGTTATAAATGACCGTTCCATTGGGACTGATGACTGGTGCTGAGGTTGGGATGGTGGAGAAGAAGCAGGGAAGATTTACCTTCCCTGAGAGGGACCCAGTGACTGGTCTGATTATCGATAATGCATTGGAGGCTGAAAGGAAAAAAAGCAAAAGAGTTGAATGCAATGTCCATTCATGTTCATGCATTCAGAACTGTACTTTTATGTTTCTTCTTATTAATATTTTTCTTCAAATACACGTTCCTTCTGTTTACTCTCATTCTAACAGATACAAGTGGACACTATAAACAGCCCGACTCATTTACATTGACGGGGTGTGACAACTACACCCAGCCTAATAAAAAAAAAACATGAATCATGGCGTGAAAATGGCTCTGGAAAGTCAAACCTCATCCTTAAAACGATGGGTGTGGGAACACATTCAACACTGACTGCAGTGTGTGTGCAGCATGTTTGTATGAAGTTAAATATAATTGGTTAAATAGTGGAGTCATGGCTGCATCACTTCATGCTATGCCACTTCTGAGTTCTGTTCATGTTAGTTTTCCTTCTCAAATAATCCCACCTTTACTTGCATGGCAACTAACTGACAAGGACAGGTAGAGCCACACAAAAAGAAGTGAAATATGTCATCAGCATGCTTCACAATGGAAAATGTATCTCCCTTCTCCTGACCCCCTATGTCAAATTCCTAAATTGCAGCATAGGACAAGGATGTTTAATTTAATCCTACAGCTTGAATATTCTGTTGCAACCAGTAAATAGTGAACTACTAGAACTACTGCTAAACCAGACAGGGTTAACAGTTGCTATACTTTATCACCCTCCCCCCTGAGGTCTGTTCACAGTTAAAGCTGTTGACTGTACCTCCGTCTCTACTTCTACGTGATTGTTGAGGCAAAGCAAAGGGGATGTCAGACAGGATGTCAGACACAAATGAATGGCAACAGGCTGAATCACATTTAGCCCTGTGGAGCGAAAGAAGATTTACTTCTCTTTTTTTGTTTGGGGGTTGTGGAGGGGGAGGTGGGTCACAGGGAACAATGTGGGGAATGCTCTGGAAACAGTGGTGGGACAGCCCCAGAGGCATGAGTGTGTGTGCTATAACAGAGGGATGAGGGGTGAAACCAGCTGTTATTTCCAGACTGGGAGCCCAGTCTAATTGAAAGGTGTACGTTCATACCCAGAGACAAGGCTAGGGACTATAGGGGCCAGGAGAGTCAGGGGGGCCGAAGGGGCCAGAGGGGCCTGATATGCAAACCTCAGTGGCCAACATTGTGACCTTCACCATTAAGTAAAGTCTTGCAGGTTTCACAGGAAGACTGGTAGGGGCAGACGGCACATCTCTCCTGTTCTTATTGTTTTCAAGTGGCCCACAGAGTGACTGGGATTTCTCCCGCAGGGGCCAGTTCGACTCTGGCTGTGAGGCACCACTGACACATCAGTCAGTTTGCTAAAGATAAGCTGTAGAGTACGGACGCCAGCTGAATGTGACCATGTCAAATGACTGTGTGTGGTACAACACACAGAGGTGGAGAGAGGAAGAGAGGAGGGAGGTGTACGGTGGGAGGGAGGGAGATAAAGAAAAGAGAGAGAGGGGGAGATGGGGAGAGGAGTGACTAAGAGAGGGAGAGAGGGGGGAGGGGGAGAAACATTTACTCATTCAAAACTTACCTGTTGCAGTTGCAGCTTCACAGAGATAGTATAACCACAGGATATGCTTTATATTTAGTAACATCTGTTGGAGAAATTAAAAAGGTGCATTAGAAAACTCATTTAATGACTCATACAAAGTTTAGTTTTATGTTTTTTTGTGTTTGTAAGCCTGATTATTTTCTATCATTCATGGGTTAAAAAAAAATCAATGGTGTAAACATCTATTCTTCATCTAAACAAAAATATCAAATATCCAGACATTACTGCAACCTACAAATGAATACTTCAATAATCAAACATTGAAGCATTTCTCTAGATAGGACTAATGATGGACTGATATCCTTCTTTAAAATATGTTGAAGTTTTGATAAGCCACATGGGACATTTACCCGACATGTCACATGACCAGGCACAAAATCTTTATTTGCTCCTTTTAGAAATAAGATTTGGAGGCAAACAAATGACATTTAATGACCCAGGCACATGTTTATAGTGAATTTGTGGGTGGCGGGGCTGAGAGGTAAAGCTTCCTGACTTCCACAAACTGTTTTTGGCGACTGGAGCAGTCCACCGCCCTCATGTATGAACATAAGTGTTGGGTCGCAGTGGGGGCTGCAAACAGTTCTCTATCAAAAACGAGACACTCACTATATACTGGCAATTGGCAATGATAAAAGATCATCATCTAAAATATTTTAGGGTGGGTATGACTGTGACTTAATGCCAGCACTCCCACAAGTCTATCCAGAGTCAAGGGACCCACCCTAATGGAAACTGAATGAAATGAGACTTTAGGGAGACAATTAGTGAAATATCATAATACTAATACTGTTACATCTCCAACTGTATATTAGTTTTTAAAATTATTTTAGAAATATTTGAAGAAGAGTGTGCGTAAACTAAGCAGAATGATTTCTAGGAAATCGGGGGAAAAGTTGTTCAAAGGAAGATCAGCAAGCGTCACACAGGCGTTTAATTGGTAGCAAATTTTTGGAAATGCTCCCTGGTATGAAACAAATCATCTGCTAATGGGAGCTAAAATTCTCTTCCAGTCAGAAGTCTATCAAAATGTTGACTTTCGGTTTTTGGGTTCGTTTCTATGACTTTTCTCCACAGAAACACCTGTTGCTTCTGGATGCTCAACAAAAAAACATGACATGACAGGAAAACATAGTAATGATTATTCCAATTTCAAATGGTTAGTGTGTGAATTTAAAAGAAAATACGGAGTAATTCCTAATCCGCAGTGCTGATTTTGGAAGTTCACTTGCCTCTCTCTCTCTGTAGCGGGACGCACCAGTGTGGGTTATCTGAGGACAACGCGGCATCACTGGGTGCGTTCGTGTTATTTGTAGACTGAGAAGTTAACTTAAATAGACCGATTTGTTTCATATGTCGTGCTATTATCAATATTTGCTCGATACATGAATAAAATGTCACACATTGAGAAAACAAAAAGTCAACAATTACATTAATGGCCAACTATCTGTTTTAGAACAATAGTCTCAATTCATTGTTTAATTTTAAACAAACAACAAAAAAATACTTACGTTTAAAGGTGTTTTATTCCATAAAATGTACATATATCGATATGCGTCCTTAAATCCAGTTAGTCCCAGTGCGTAACATGCGTGCGTAAAAGTGCCAAAATATCTCCACTCCAAGTCGGCGCAACAGCACTTATCTTCCCGGTGCGCCTCTCTCTTCTTGATGCTCCAGAGTTGCAGGTCCCACTACAGGATGCCCTGGTTCTAAACGGAGCGACAGAAACCGTGAAGTGCTGGCAGCCAACAAGTTCAGTTTTGCCTAATGCAAACTGTTATTTCGTCAGTGATATAGAGGAGGGGCAGAGTGCCCTTCCGAAAAGTGAATGAGACACCTTGGGTAGGAGGAGGAAAAACCCTAATTTGGCTCTGTGTCTGAGAGGTACACTCATCCAATCAGACTGTTCCGAAATAACGCGTATCAATTGTGCAGGTAACACATCTGTCATTTATTTAAGAGAGTACATCTTCACTTCAGACCCCAACATCTGATGGTTTCACTTGTAACATAAAAGCAATCAAATGAGAAATAAATGATAGCAAAATCAAACCTTTATATTATTTAATGTTTATTTACATTAACTAGGTGTGTCAAATGTATTACTTGATTATATACGTCGCTTATAATCAACTACCTTTGATAATTATGTCTCTCCTTGATGCCCTGTATAAAGTCATATCCAAGGGTGCGCAATGGAAACGGGGTGGTGCAGCTTGTCTCTTGTTGAATTTGAGTCACAACTGTTTGTTCCAACAACACATTTCTGTTAATATCGTGAGGGAGTTCTAACCTTCCACCTCACTGAGCCTCTTCGAGCTTTTGGAGTCGCAGGTCTCTTGCCTACTGGATTTTGAGATTAAATAATATCAATAAAGTTCGCCCTAAGAATAGATGTATAATTAAATGTTTTATTGGAATGTTGTTAGACAAAATAGTTTATCCACTGAACAGAAGCCAGCAGAAATGGATCATCTCAGATGGGAGAGGAGACGGGCTATCTCTGATTAACGTGACTGATGTTGAGGGGAGGGAGCAAACAGTGGATAATGTAACCTCTGTGCTTGGCTTTTCCACACGGGGGAGAGGCTGGACCACAGTTTATCAACTCTTGCCTAATAATCACCACGATTGGCTTCTGTTAGATAGGACGGCTTAGCTGAGTGAGAGATGAGACGTGTCTCTTCGTTTGTTTTAAAAAAAAAAAAAAACTGCAAATAATTTGTATAAGTCTACATTCCTAGTGTGACATTTTAGAGACAAAAGAGTAGATATGTAAAACCTCAATGTACCAGGTTATAAATTATGGTTTTTTTTTTTTTTTAAGTCAATGACTCAAATGACTCTGAATAACTGGTGACCTGTTTCACTGCCATTCTTTAGTATCCTGGGATAATAGCTGGTTCCTGTATGAATTTCATTGTATTTTGTTTCTCGTCAAAGTGAGCATTAATGACTTTTCCTTAATTTTAGAAAGTTTTAGTTATTTTTAAAAGTGACATAAAAATTGTTTTCCAATAGACTTCATATAGGAGCCCTTTTATTTTAACAGTTCAACATCATGAAGGACTTGCACAATGGTGTCATGTTTATAGTGTTCCTTAATGACAGCCTCAGCCAACATAGGCTTCTGCATCAGAACTGACGGGTAGGTCTGGTAGCTGACTCTAGTGGGGCGGACTAATTGTTCAAAATCATGGTGTTGCCTTCTGAAAACACTCACACAGGCTGAGAGCGGGAGCAGAGGTGATAAGCCTCTGACAAAGAAGATTGCCCTTGAAGCCTTAGGGCTCTTGTAAAAAGTTGTAGGTGCCTTTTCCATACCTGCGTGCATTGTAATCATCTCAGGCCTCAGCACCATTTACCACAGTGCATCTTTCCTCTACAAGGCTGGACTGGTCTGGACAGCCTGAATCTGAGAAAGAGAGAAGACGAGGGAAGCACTGGGTGAGATAGAAAGGGAAGGCTGGAGTTAACAGGTTGTCATTTTTAACTTATTTCCTATGTCACATGTACAACCTGCCACTTACTGCGGCATTAAGTCTCTATTAGACAGTTAAATGAGACAAAATTAGAGAATGACACTTGAATATATCATTAGCCATTTTAGACATGTTAGAACGCTGAGCATACAAAGGAAACAAACGTGCAAGTACTGCAAACGATACCAGATGCTGACAAAGACAGATTGCATTTTGATGTCAAAGCTCCAGGAAACAGGTTTCATAATTTAAACAAACAACTTGACAAAGAGCTCAAACTGACCTGAGTCTGGGTGGAATTTGCCACCTGACCCCAGCAATAGTTAACTACTCAGTCTTAGAGTTACAGGAATCATTTAATCATTTTACTGCTTTACCTTCTTAACTGAGTCATCGTTAGTTAAAAGTTGCAAGTCACTTACTACCGTGTAAAACATCTCTACTGTATGTGTAACCATGGAAGTCCTGTTGCCTTTCAGTACCCATAAATCAACGAGTCAAAGAGCCAATCAAAGAGTGTTTGATCCTGGTGATCCGCTGTGCGGGCCCCAAGATGACCCACATATCACATGACCTATAAAGGTGCTTTACCTCCGGCCCCATGCCACCTCAGACAGCATAAAAGGGGCATTAATTTTCTCCAACCCCAAGGGATCTGTCCTACTGAAACTCATAATTTGGAAGGCCAAAGCTGCTCTGATTTTAATGTGTTTTATTGATTACTTACAGTACACAGTTTCCCTCCCAGATTTGTGGTTCTGAAAAGGAAATCCTCCAATATCTACAAGTATACGCAGAATAGAGACAATCTGGAATAGCTGCTAAGTCAGCTGATATGTTTGTTCCTGTATAAATAAACTAAACAAGTATATCCACAACTGGTACATGTCAAGAGTACAAAATGACTCTTCTGGGCATTGCTAGAAGAACAAAAAAATTAATACATAATGTCAAACAAGTTGTACAATTAAAGTGTCAAACAAAAGCCAAACCTGTGACACACACAGAGAAAAAACAGCTTGCTGTGATTTCCCAAGGTACAAGAAAACAAGCTTGTATGTAGTGTGCGTGTTTTGTGAGTGAACCCCCTGTTTAGAGCAGAAAATGTGGGAAAATGAAGTTGCCTCTGGACAGACGTGAACCCTGATCCTTTGGAGCCCAGTGTGGAGGCCCAGACCACCTGACCTGATCCCTTCAGCTTAAGTGAGAGGCCAGGAGAAGTAAGCCACGGGAACTGATCTGAATCATGTTTACTCAGACCAAAAATCAGGTCAATTTAGTTATTGCTTGTTTTATTAAAACCATATTGCAATATTGTCAACGGACAAAGTATTACGAGGGGAACTTGGTAAAGAGATACTTACATACATACAGGCTAGAGTCTGACTGATAGTGATACTGAAAAACACACAATATATCATTCGATATGTATTTCTGACAATATTTCCCTCATTGAGCCCTCAATTTTGGTTATAATAGAATTGGGACAAATACATGTATTGAGCAAAGACAGTTAAACAATAAACTCTACTGATAACCATGACATTAGAAATAAGATGAGTGTACATTTTTAACCAAATATTTTTACTTAAAACACAAAAACATTTTAAATATTGAACTTGATTTTGAAAAAAAAGGGTCAAAATACTTAAAACTGCCAACTATAAAAGCTTCCTCTACTGTAACTTCTATTCATATATGCCAACATTGAGATATATATTGCTATGTCTATGGTAATTCATGTTGGCATGTTAATATATCGATCAGGTTCTAACACTATTACTGTCTTGGTGGTCTATGAAATCGTATATAAATGTTTTCTTATTTCTTGTTTTTTTTATATCAAGAAAATTTTGGACACATCTGCACAAAACAGCTAGTACCTAACCTTGCTTACCAAATCTAACATGTTTTAGATACAATATTTTAGACATGGCAATATCAGTGTTTTAATGGAAATTGGCGGCAGAATGCCACTCTTTCCCACAGCCAACCACACCCACTCTTTTCTACGACTTCCGAACAACATAACAATAATTGAAAGGAAAAAGAAAGAACTGAAAAAAAAGAAAGAGCTGCACACTGCCATTTCGAGGACGTCTGCAGCAAGTGGCACAACTGTCTGGAGTCCTCGGTACCAGGTGTCAATTAGGTAGGCACCAGGTGTCAATCAACAGGCAGGAGTCAGTCGTGGTCATGACAGCTGGTTGACTGTCAGTCCGTCTGAGGGGTGTTACACATACGCTTACCCCGCTGTCCACTAATTGGTGCCTCTAGTGAGAGCCACAAACCTGTTCAATGTTTTATTTATGTGTTCATCAGGTGCTATTCCCCCCCCCCATAATTCTGTCTTTATCATTTTACTTAGCTCTACTCTTCAGCCATGTGGTGTTGGCTACAAGACCAGATTATGGTCTTGAAAGTCTTTCTCACGTCAGATCTTCCAAAGAGTTGGCTGGATCCCAACTGGATGCAGCTTGCAGGCAGACGTGTCCCTCTGTCTCTCCAAGTCAGTTCAGGTAGACACAGGTAAAGTGCAACACTGATTGTTTTAAATTATATAAATCTTCCCTGGAGACATAATGTGGTTGAATCATTCACACACAAACAAACAAAAGAAAATTTTTTCTGTGAAACTCATTGATGACAAGATTTCATCAGATTGTGATTCAGCCACCCAACCCAAACCTCAGTGTCACAGCCCTTGGGAAACGGTCAACTTCTAATGGTGCTGTTTGAGAGGCTAAACAGACTGGAACTTTATGAATCACTGCATCTGCCACCTTCTAGCAAACCACTTTAATCTGATAGGATGGCAAAGGAACAAAGACAGAGGAAGTGAGTGAGAGAGAGAGAGAGAGAGAGAGAGAGAGAGAGAGAGAGAGAGAGAGAGAGAGAGAGGGGTGGGGGCAGAGAAAATGGTTTGATAACCAGAAACAGACCAGTCCCACGTCACAGATCTTTGCCAATTGCAGTTAACATAATGCAGCATTGTGGGAACCACTTAATTTTCTAACCTCATCCCTTCTGCTGTAATCTGGCTATATATGACATCTGGGGACACAGGATTACAATATTTCAAATTAGGTTTCAGTAAGTGTCATATTTGACAACTGCACCAAGGTATTTAAAAATGTGTGATCTATGACATTTACATATACTATGTGAAAATGTATCAAGTCCCTATAGCATTTTTGGAGGAGTCATGCTTCTCACTGTACTTTAACCACAGAAAGAGAAGGCAATGTGGACGGCTCGTCGATCCTTTG